TCCTGGTCACAGGCAGGAACTTTTTTTTTTTCCCCCTAGCAAAGCTGCAGAGAGTGCCTGACTTCTAGGGCACAGCCGTGTGGCTAGACGGTGTGTATTGCAGAGGTACCTGAATGTTCACAAAAGGATTGTTGCCATGTTATCAGCAGTGGTGGCCAGTGCCCAAGCCCTGTAAATTGCTGGCGGATTACCGCTAAACTCTGAGAGCTGGCTGCCATTGGCCCCACCTATTCTGCCTGAGGCCCCGCCCCTCCCAGGAACACAGAGCCAGGGCCCACTCCACCGTGCCCAGGGGCCCAGCGAGGTTGTCGGCACCCGCTGTCTACAGTGCAGAGAGGGCCAAGCCTGCTTTTGTCTAGCGACTTCTTTGTTGTGTCATAAATATCCGCCAAGGATGCACCAGAGTAACTTCCACGTGGGATGTGTACACAGCATGGCAGAGGGCAAGGTCTCTGTGCTGAGACCTGGCAGCTGAGCTTGTGTCGTGGGCAGATGCTGGCACAGCTGTGGCCCGTGGCCATGTGGATGGTGCTGCTGCTGCTCCGGGGCAGCAGGGACATTTCCTGCATTGGGGTTTTTCTATTGCTGAGAGGTGGTAGCTAGGTTGGAAGAATCCTTCTGTCAGCCTAGCCATGTCTACATCGGGGGGCCAGTCAATCTCACTGTGATGCCCCAAGCAGGAGTGAGTAGCTAAATCCATCACAAGTTGGCTTGAAAAGAAGGGCGTCTGGATGGGCAGCAGCCGTGGTATTGCGGAAGTGAGCGGACCCCTGGGTTTCATGGCACTGAGACTTAGCTTTGTAGCAAAAGCAACATTTCAACATGGCCTGCCTCTTGTCCTGATAACAGATTGGCGAGCTCCTCAGAGCTTGTTAACAACCCCGCAAACGAGGTGGCTAAACTCCTCCTCCCCTGCCCTCGATTTCCAGTTGCACAGAGAGCACAGCTGGAGGGGAAGTGACGGGGAAGAGGGTCTAATCATGAGAATGACTCACTGCCTCACATCTCTCCTCCCCTAGGGCCTGACCGGAGCAAAGGGGGAACCAGGGCCACACGGGAGGCCAGGGCCTAAGGTAAGTGACCAGTGTCTGTCTCTCAGGCTCCAACTTCTTGTCCCTCCCTTCCGGAGGAGAGGGTAGGGAAGGAGCAGAGAGAAGAGGGGAGGTTGGCCGGGTTGGTGAGCTCTCTTGGATGGATGCCCACGTTCCCACACCTTGGGGTCATGGAATAGTTGGGATCTAGTCAGCTGTGTCAAGGCCCTCAGCGGGTGTAAAACGGCACCGCACCGGGGAAGGTTATGAGGTGAGACCACATCATGGATTCCGCCTTGGCCTCAGGCCAGGATCCGGGGCCGAGACCAGCCCGAAGGGGAGCTCCCCATCACGCCGAGAGGCCCCACTCAGGATCGGGCCCCATTGCCCAGCCCTATATGTGCACAGAATAGGAGACGTCCTTTGGGGTGAACCGTGAGCCCTTCGACAGGGGGTGGGGACTGAATGGGGTGAGCTTTGGGGCCAGCTTCCTGGAATGAATGGAGACCTCATGGGTGGATTTCAAAGGCTTGGATCAGACCCAGAGTCAGACTGGTTTTCAGATCAGGTGTGTTATCAATTATTATTATTACAACAGCGCCAAGGTTCTCTAATCCTATCTTGGTGTAAACGCATCACAAAAAGACAGAGGCCCCAAAGAGCCAGCCGTTGGCCCTGTTCTATTGAAGCCAAAGGGGCGATGCTGGGTTCCACCCATGGAGTGGACCCGGACACAGATTTTTCAATGACTGGATGTTGTATAATCAGAAAATACCCCTCCTACACCTGCTTCCCACTGCCCACCGGATCTCACATTGACTCTCTTCTTCCGCACTCCCAGGGCCAGCCCGGACTGCCAGGGCCACCGGGACTTCCCGTGAGTATCTGTCACGTCGGCTGCTCATATTGTTATTGCTGCCTAACGGCCTGAGCCTGGGAGCCGGGGAATGCCTGGGCCTCATCCCAGGCTCACGCTGTTGGTGTGAGCAAGTCAACAAAACCTTCTGTGCCTCAGTTTTTCCCATTGGTCAGCTCACCAGGATCTACCGCGCCAGAGGAAGGCTTCCGGACAGTCCCCTGTTCCTGTGCCTCACTCTTGAGCTAAGAATGAAGGGATTTCAGTCTCCATGGTCCCGTTAGGTTCTGGCCTACGTGCTGGTCAGTTCTGGTGCCAGTCCCAGGGGTGGTATATGTGCCACATTTCAGTCTCCATGGTCCCGTTAGGTTTTGGTCTACCTGCTGGTCAGTTCTGGTGCCGGTCCCAGGGGTGATATATGTGCCATGAGCAGTTGTCCCCTGGAAACTGGGCAAAGGCCCCCAGTGGGATCTTACAGCAGAGGGGGTTCTGTGGCTGTTGTGTGGGCTACACAAGCTGTCTAGGCCGCTGTAGATTTGTCCACTATACTCTCTTCTCCCATCACGAATGGCCTTTCTTGAGGGAGATCCCATTGCATTTTGATGCTGCCACTACCGTCTTACTGCTGGTCCACGAGCTGGTGCCTTATGAACTGTCCAAACCCCAGGCATCTTTCAGTGGGGATCCCGGGGGTGGGGTGGGGTGGGGCAGACAGGGCAGCTGTCCCCTGCAGTGCCCTCAGTTTGGCAAGAGCATAGAATCCCTGGGTATGGCAGAGATCTGTGCCTGGAGGGACCCTCAGCATGCAGATCCCTCCTCCAGGCAGTTCAGCAAGCCAGGAGGGATGTATGTTTTTCCCATTGTTGCCCTGTAAAGAGTCATCCCTACCCCCTGAAAAATAACAGGGCTGGGCTCTGCTAGGTCTGAGAGTGTCCCAGTAACTATGGTGTTAGCCTAGAACACAGGAGACTTGGTTCCATTCTCTGCTCTGCCACTGACTCTCTATGTGACCTTGGGTGAGTCACTTAGTTCCTTTGTGCCTCGCTCTACCATCTGTAAAGTGGAGGCGCTAGCCCTGCGCTACGTCTCAGGTGTGGTGAGGATACATGCATTGAGCATGAGGTGCTCAGAGGTTATGGGGGGTGGGTGGTCAGATGAGTGCTGAAGCTAGCAGTTGAAACCAGTGGAATTGCTCTTTATTGGGGGGCAGGGCTTTGCCCATGTCCTTTGCTGTCCCATAGGGTGAGGACCAGAGTTTGACCCGCTGTGCAGTCAGGGAAGTCACTGCACATCTCCCCTGACCCCAGCGGGAAGGGGGACAAGGGGGGAGGTGGTGTTGCTGACTCCGATTCAGAGAATTTCAGCCTGTTGTAACTCTTTTTGTTCCAGGGCCCTGGATTGTCAGGACCTCCTGTAAGTACCCTGCTGCTGGGGCTTGGGTTGTGTGTCTTTGGCTAGGAGGGGGTGGGGACAGCTTTGAGTTTTAAGTAAAAAACCCTCAGCAGCTTTGACGGGGGGAATTTTACTGCTTTGGACTCCCATTAGCACCAATGTCAGTCTTGCGCTCCCCTCCTCTCTCTCCCAACCATGGGGAAGATTTCACCCCTGGTGCAAGATAGTAAGTGGAGTGGATCTAGAGCAAGGGTGGGCAATCATTTTTGATGCAGACGGGGGGGACTCCAAGAATTTGGTAAGTGGTCAAGGGCCGCACACTGTTCCATGATATGAATGGAAGAGGTGCAGGGTCTAAGATGGAGCTTGGGTGCAGAAGGGAGCTTGGGGTAAGGGACTGGGGTTCAGGAGGGAGCGTGGGGTCTGGAAGGGTGAAGGAGGTGGTTGGGAGTGGGGCAGAGGACAGGGGTGCAGGAGGGCGTGAAGAGATTTGGGTTGTGACCTAGGGCAGGAGGGAATTGTGACCTGGGGGGGACAGGGTTTGGAAGGGGGTATGGATAGGAATGCAGGAGGGGGTGCAGGGATTTGGGCTGTGACCAGGGATAGTGGATTGGTGCAGGATCTAGGAGGGGGTTATGACCTGAGGAGGGGCGTAGGAGAGGATGCAGTGTCTGGGAAGATGTATTGGGGCTGGAGCAGGGGTGCAGAAGGTTTAGGTTACATGGGATAGGGGGGCAGAGGATTGGGGGAGGAAGGGATTGGGGTACCAGAGGCTCCTTGCCTGCCCCACCCCCACACAGGCTGCAGAGGCTATGCGGATCTATGAATACTTGCAAGCCTAAGGGGACAAGGGAGGGGTACTTTGTGCGCTTCCTGTTCTTCAAACAGGCAGCTCCCGTTGACTAGAAACTGGCCAATGGGATTGTGCTGGGGGTGGGTCAGCGAGTGAAGCCCCTCCCCCCACTTCCGCAGCTCACAGCTGTTCAAAGACAAACAAGGCCCTGCAGCTGCTTTTCTCAGCAGCGTGCAGGGGGGCGGGACAGGCAGGGAGCCTGTCTGAGGCTCCCCGCAGTGCCAGGGGCAGGATCCGATGGCCCACAGGCAGGGTGTGGCCCATGGGCCGTATTTTGCCCAGTCCTGGTCTAATGGATTGGAGATGAGCCCAAGGACCAATGCAGATACATTCATCTGACCTCTCTCACTGCTGGCACCATTCTCCATTATTAGTCCAGCTCTGCCCTGTCTACCTGGGTGACTGCGACAGGTCCAGTTATTAGTACAGCAGGAAAGTTCCACCTGGAGGAACCCTGTTGCCGTCCGTGGCAGAGCAGGGGCGTCTCCCTGCCTGCACCTGATGCACAGAGAGGGCATGGCCTCCCTCTGCCAGCATCCGCACGAACTTCCTCCATTCAGTCTTGGGGAAAGGGCTCAATTCTTCTCGTGCAAAGCTGCTCTCTGACGGATTCCTTGCCAAGGGAGGTTGTTTCCTCTTGGAATCCCCCAGATTAAACGCTGCAGCTGGTCCCAGGGCATTCACCCCAGGGCCACATGACTCAACCCACGTGTTTAATGAATGACTCTCTCCTTTTTCCCAGGGGCCTCCGGGCCAGGTTGGACTTCCTGGGGAAATCGGAGTGTTGGGCCGTAAGGTGAGGAGGACTCACCTCTCTGGACAGGTGCCGGTTTGTTTCCTCTGACCCTAGCTAGGAATGAGCCAGGTTTTCAAGGGGGCAGTTGAGTCCCTGCTCTAGTTAAGGTTAGTTCTGGTTGCGGAGCTTAGCTCCTGCTGGAAACATCTTTGTGGAAAGACACCTCCTGGTGATGGCTCTATCCTGTAGCGGTCCTCAGGTGGCTACAGGCTCATGAGCAAAAGAGTTGCCGCTTCGTTTCAGAGCAGCACGGGGTACCTGTGTTTGCTGCTGTAAGTCGTGAGTTCAAGACCCACGGGTGACTAAATTCAAAGAGTCTCCATGCTATGCAGCCCTTCAATAGGGGGTGCTGGATTGTTCACCCAACCTGACTTAGTAACTACAGCCTTTGTGTGTTGACTTTATTTATTGTGGTTGCTTCTTTTCAGGGCGAAGCAGGCCCTGATGGACCACGAGGCCCCCCCGGACCCCCGGGGAAACCTGTGAGTATTAACCCATCTCCGCTACAATTTCCCATCTGGGGCCTTGGCATGACGGGTGGATGAAGGGAGATTCCTCCATCCAGGCCCGGGGATCGGACAGAGGCCACATGTGGCAGAAAGTCAGAATCAGAGCCACAGGTGGCGGGGAAGGGCCCGTTCCAGGGAAGCGCTCCGCACCCCGACGAGGCCTGTAATGTGGGGCTGAACCTGCCTCGCAGCCATCTGCCTAAGTGGAAGGTGACCTCAGTTAATCAAGGCTCATGCTTCAGGGTTTAAAGCTGATCTCTGTGGGGGGGGTCAGGAAGGAAACTGCCTTAGATAGGCCGCCAGAGCCTTTGTGGAGCAGTGAGGGGCATGTGGGTCAGGGGATTCCATGGGCCCATGGTCGGGGCTGACCCAATTAAATCCCCTCATCGAAACGGTGGATGAATCACAGCATGGTCCCTGTTTGGCCAGTCAGCTCTCACGGGCAATATGGGGCCTTTGGTCTAGATGTGAGCTGCAGCGATTCCCATGGCATTGTTTGCAGACTGAAATGTGCCAAGGGCTGTGCCGGGGCACTGGGTTCGGACTCCTGGGTGCGGTTTGCAGCTCTGAGAAGAGAGGGTGTCTTGTGGCTAGAGCAGGAGAGGACTCTCAGCTGGGACTCCCGGTTTCTATTCCCAGCTCTGCCAACGAGTCACTGCGTGACCCTGGGCATGTCACTTCCCTGCTCTGTGCCTCAGGCCCTCCTCCATAAAGGAGGGTGCAGTATTTCCCTGCCTCCATACACTGTTTTGTTATTAAAATGCTGTGTATTATTACCACCCTGCTAGGGAACCTGACGATCTGTTTCCTTCCAGGGTCCTCCAGGGCACATCCAAGGGCTGGAAGGCAGTGCGGATTTCCTGGTAAGAACCGCAGTGACGCCAGCCATGTCTCCACTATGAAATTAGTTCAAAATCACTAAATTTGACTTAACTCACAATTTGTCAAAATCGAATTAGTGTGTCCACACTATGGGGAAGCCTTGAACGGAGTCCGAGGCAGGCTCCGTTAATGTGGACGTGCTACCTCAGACTTAGAGCCCCAGCAAGCCCTGGGGAGTCGTTCGTTCGAATGAGTCTGGGGAGTTGTTCTTTCAAAGTAGCGACACCGGCGGGTCCACACGACCGTTATTTCGACATAACTCTTTTGGAACGATTAGCGTTCCTCCTGATGAAAAGCAGGAGCGCAGATTTCGAATTCAGTGGCCCGTTATTTCGAAATAGCGGGCTTGGTAGTGTGGACGCTCCGTTTACAAATTTGACCTTAGGGGGGTTATTTTGAAATAAAGTCTTAGTGTAGACCCAGGGTCTGGGAGCAAACTGAATCTGCCAGCTCCTGCCATTTCCTTTGTGTATCCTTTGGGCTGGCGTACAGCCCCGAGCTTCCCCTTTGTGGCTGGCATGTGAGCAGGTGTGTCCCCTCAGGGCAACCTCCTAGAAGTGCCAAGCCCCCTTTGGGCTGCTCATAGAACCAGGTCAGACCCTCCTGTGGGGCTGACAGACCGAGGGGTGAGCGGGCCCCTCAGCAAGCCAAGCCTGTCCCTACTGAGGTAGCTGTAACCAGGCAGGGCTTTCCCGCCTTTTTTCTTCTCCTCAAGGGACGTCACCATGAGATGTCCCCTCAGGGCAACCTCCTAGAAGTGCCAAGCCCCCTTTGGGCTGCTCATAGAACCAGGTCAGACCCTCCTGTGGGGCTGACAGACCGAGGGGTGAGCGGGCCCCTCAGCAAGCCAAGCCTGTCCCTACTGAGGTAGCTGTAACCAGGCAGGGCTTTCCCGCCTTTTTTCTTCTCCTCAAGGGACGTCACCATGAGAATGGGCTCCCATGTATGCCAGGGGGGCACTTGTTACTTCTGGGGTGGGGG